TTATATATATATATATATATATATATATATATATATATATATATATAATGCTAATACAAAAAAAGATAAACTATTGTGTGTGTTTTTTAAGTTTTTTTTTTTTTTTTAAGGGGATCAAATTAGGGCTGCAGCTAATGATTGTTTTGCTACTCGATTAATCTGTTAATTTCTTTCCAATTAACTGATTAATTATGGGATAGCAAAAGGTTCCTTGAAGAAGATTTTTTACAGAATTAAACTAAACTGAATATAGCATATTGACAGAAGGAATATATATATATATATATATATATATATATATATATATCTATATATATATATATTTTTTTTTTTTTTTACAATTTTGGTATAGGTACTGCTCTAAATAAGTTGCTCTCTCAGCTAAAGGCATGTTGTAGAGTCTCTATACTCCAGTTAACGATTAATCGATTACTAAATTAGTTGAGGACTATTTCAATAATAGATTAATCACGATTAATCGGATGAACTGTTTCAGTACAAATACAAATAATTGTGACTGATGCTGTGTGACAAACTCTATAACTTTTCTAGAAATAAGTAAAGCCTCTTCAACCTATGATCCACCTAGGAAATCAGAAATCCTTCCTTACTGTGGTTTCATTAGAAGCTCTTGCATTGTTGTTTAAAACCTGATAGGCCGGAACACTAAATGCAGATGTAGAAGGAATCTGATATGTGATTTATCGGTTTGTGTACCTCAGAGTGCTTGCTGAATCAGCTTTTCCTTTATGTCCAACTTTGCATCTCATTTTAAGAGCATATAAATAAATTGAGCTAAGAAAGAACTGCATGCATCTTCTGCTTGATGACAAGCATCAAGCCTGGGTAGAGGACTTTATTTGGGCACATATTGTGAGTTGGTGTCATACTAACAAGGACATTTACTGAAGATCTGTTATTCCACAGGCCACATTCATTTGCATTGTTTTACCCTGCTGTTGTAAAGTTATGCAACTTCATATTTTATTCAGTGGAAAGAAGTGCTGGGCATTATAATAAAGCTTGACAGTTTTATAAAATGTGTGGTTAGATTTTATGAGCTAAACGAACTTGTAAAACAGCAGTGAATAAATTCCTAAATTTGGCGAGGTGAGAACTTAATGCAGGTGGAATTGTGGAAACGCCTTAGATCAGAGCGGCTGTCAAGGCTATTTTGCTGCACAGGAGTCAATATAGGAGATCTACTGTAGACAACCTTAATTAAATATTTTGATCCTGCAAAGAGGAAGGTTACAGGGAGGAAAGGATGTGCCTCTCATTTCCTCCATGCTGCAGAATTGGCCAGCAGTAAAAGCTCTCCCAGCAGAAGAAACATTTCAGGGACTTTAGCTGCCACATGCAAGCTCATTTAAGTCTTATCTTAGTAATTATTTTGGAGCTTTATCTTTATATCTATATCTTTTTATCTTTTTTTGAGTTTTTACAGCATTAGTGGCTCGTTTTTTCAAAAGTAGGCTGACAGGAAAGGAGGTATGAGAGAGGGGGAGAGACATGCGGCAAAGGACCACAAGTCGGATTCGAACCCAGGTCGGACGCATCGAGGACTAAGTACATGGGTCATGCACGCTAACTAGTGACCACCTGCATACCCCACAAGCTCGCTTTATCTAATTATCACCAGATTTTGTGGACAGATGCTTTAGGCCAATACATATCCTTTAAATCTACTTCTGATACCCCACATGCCTTTGCATTTTTCTTTTTGAAGTAGAAACCAGGCTGTTTGCATTGCAGCTTAGTGTGTTCTGAAGAAGAGAATAAGTTGAAAGGTTTGACAGCAGCATCCTGATACTACGATAGCTGTGAATATGCCTGCAGGTTTTTTTTGCTAGCTGTCACTGATTGCTGCAGTCATTCGACTGTTGCTGAGACACAGATAGTTTTGCAATGTGTCATTGCATTGATGCTGTATTTACAGTACAGCACACAGCCGCACTTTAAACAAGAATCCTGTTCAAACTACAGCTTTAGTAGCAAGAACAATCTAATGTATTGAATATGCCTGTAAGTAGGAATTCAAAAAAGAGCAGTATTACTCTATTTATCAAAGATCCTCATTTCTATAGAATATAAAGAAAATCAGCAAATAGTGTGAACCAAAATACTGGATTCCAGTGGAAAAAAGAATATTCATGCATTTCTTAAGCCATTCACAGATTTAATGACCTGGAGATTGGAATCCCGACCTATTTATTTATCTAAATTGATTTCTTCTGCAGCTAATTAACCACAATATTTACTCATTAGAACATATACAACCTCATTTATTTATGTTTATTTTAATGGTTAAATATAACATTTATTAATGTCGAGGCCTTGGTAAAGGTAGCTGTGCTCTGACCAAAATCAGAGCATATGTCTTCATGTACTAAACAAGATTTCTTTGACAAGACAGTTAGGAATACAATACTTGTTTGTTTATATACTGCAAATGTCTTCAATTTTAGCTTTAGATGCCTTTAATACATTCAGTCAATCTTAAGAATCTCACTGAACGAGATGCCTTGATTTGATACAAATTATAAAATTTAAGATGCCGAAAATCAGGTATAGTTGAAGGCCTTATGATGACAGAAAGACTAGAAATTATTTTCTAGTATTGTGCATCCACATTGTTTGGTGTTTATTTTCATTAAACTGAATCTACATTTTATCATCCATTCCTTCTAAACTGCAACTGGAAAGAATTTGCATTTAATAAACAGATTATAGGAAATTATTTAAACTTTATTCCAAATTTAAGCAAAATTACATGGCATAGTATTGAACCTTTCAGTGACTGTTTTGAGGGGTTTTCACTTCATTTGTACGGGAAGTTTTAAATCTGGGTCTGGTTCCCTGCAGAGCTCGTTTATACTCTTATGTTAATCATCTTTTGAGTTTTTTGTAGAAATATACACTGCTATTACCTGTTGTATCAAGGGAACCAAAAAGAATAAGCAGTGTTTCAGATGTCAGAGAAGGCTAGAGTCTGTTTAAATGCACCAACACTTTCATAATGAATAAAACCATCATCAGAGCTAAGAGCCTCATGTTCTGCCTGCAGCACAGCATGCAACCCCTGCTCTAGACAAATGCAAGATGCTTCCTTTCATGTCGAAGTGATGAGGCATGGCCTGTGAATCTTCTGTCATGCTCGTTTCATTTGCAAGTGCATGCTGCATAATGTATTATTTATAACAATGTATAAACCACTGATGGTTAAACAGTAGAAAAAAAGATTATCTGACATATTTTGTTTCCCCAGCTCTTCTTAATGTTACAGAGGTAAACAAACACAGCAGATATCTATTAACTCCTTAGATATCCAGTCATTAATTGACCGAGTTGTTTCAAAATATACACTAGAATGAAAATAAAATAATTATTTTGTTCCCTCATAGACACATAATCTCTTCTTTGCAATTCGCCTTTTTGCAGACATTGTTGATAATAAGGTTGTTAAATCATTCATATGAGGACTAATGAACCCTGTCCTTGATTCATATTTTTTTTAGTTATATTTAGTTATATTTCTAAAGGGCATCTGAAACCTGGTAAGGTTCTTCAGATTCCCCTGCTAAGCAGTTAAATGTACCCTATCATATGTATATTTAGAGATTTATTATTGTATTAGGTGTCTATTGATAGTGAACTATATACCTGTCCTTTCACTTAATTTTTTATTCAAGAAGCACTGGTTGGGGCAGAAAACTATTAAAAGGTCCTGAGGGTTTTGCAGGAAAACCTTAGCTTCATGATAATTCAGTCTGGTTTGCTTTAAACTGAGACATTTACTGATGCTGAGTCCCTCTATGCTGCTTTCTGCACTATACAGTGACTATTAATAATCATATGCTTTTATTATGGCTTTCTTTCTTTACAACTCTGTTGACATTGCTCTTTCAGCCATCAGTATTTCTACCTAACTTGCCAAATGTAGCCTTCTTTCTATTGTATGTTCTGTAATATACCTTAAGAACAAGATATTGTGGAAACAAGGTTGGTTTGAGATTGTTTTCCATCGCTGTATAAACTTGCAGAGCACAGAGCATGGCACTTTAAATATATTTATATCGTATTGATTTATTGTTGCTATGTGGGATTTAAATAATTGATTAATTATGGATTGTAATTGTGATCAGATTTTGACTCCCATGCTACTGCTATGTTGTTATTACATTTCTATTTTTTTTCTCTGCTTTTACAGCATTCAACCAGCTCTGAAGAAGACATCCCTTCCAAATTAGCTCCAACTCCTTCAGTTCTGGAAAATATGTCACTGTATGCTTTTTTTCTGCACTTTATAATGGGAAGGCAGAGACCTACAACTGACACGATGGATGAGTGACGTAAATGACCTCCTGAGGGTACCATAGGCTCTTAGCTGTGTCCATAATGTGTGATCAAGTAGAACCAGTTGGAGAAGGAGAGATAAGAAATAACAACCAACAGGGTGCCGGTGATGCAAACGCCAACAGTGTTCAGACAGAGGATGGTGGGAGAACTGGACATACTGGCTCACAATTGGGTATTATGTCTGAGAGAGCAGAGCAAGACAAAGTCATCATCTGGGGAACAGACTCTCAGTGTGATGACCCTGAGCTGGCTGAGTTTGAGATGTTGGAGTGTCAGGAGCTGGAGGCTTATCTGGTGGAGGATGAGGAAGATTTTGTAGGGCTTGCAGAGAAGAGCAAGTGTCAAGAAGAGCCCTCATCAACCAGTAAAGCCACAGAAATGCAGGCAGAAGAAACTAATAAAAAAGGAGCAGAGTCTGTTGTGGATGTTGCCTGTGACCAGGAATCATCTGTGTCTCATGTCTCTGATACTGAAGTCTTTGTGAGCTGTCTGTCCACCACTGCTGCTCTGACCACAGACTCCTGGCACATTGCCCCTGGTTCCCATGTTACCCTTTCAGAGGATCTAACCGTGGCCTCCCAAATTTGCAGCACTGTCTCTGAGCAAGACAAAACCGTTCAAAAAGCCAATCCTTCCTTCCCAGCTAGAAAAAACTCAACGCAAGATTTAGACATGAATTTAAATGCAGCACTTTGTTCAGAGATTATTACACCACAACAAGAGCAGCAGGGTGTTTTGAGCAAGGATGCAAGCAATGGACAGGAACAAGATAATGAGGCAGGAAAATCCATTTCAAGAAAAGATAGTGATGATACCGACACCAAGGTTTTGTTCTGCAAAGAAAGCAACAATACAATGGATAAAAGCACACAAGCCAGCGAAATGCCTGAGTGGATAAAACCACTTAAAAGTAGTGCAAATAGGACTGAGCCATCATTTGAACACAAAGCAATAAGAAAACAAGGCTCATTTGATAGCAGTCCAAAGAAACAAAACTCTTTTGACAGGAATTTTAGAAAGCAGCCGTCCTTTGAGAATTCTTTTAAGAAGCAGCTTTCTTTTGAGAACAGCCTGAAAAGGCAGGGCTCCTTCGAGAACAGCACAAACGTCTCATCTCAGGAGCGTAGGAAAACCTGGGGGAGCCCTGGTCGATCAGCAACAACAACATCCCCCAAAACTTCACCCAAGAGACAGCCGCCTGGTTCTCCCGCTAAAGCCCAGGGCACAAGGGCTTTGAGTTTGGAAAGAAATGCCGCTTTTCAAAAAAATGCCAATCTAATAATCAGACCTCCCAATAAGACAAACATAAGCAGTGGAATTCCCAAACCGATTGCCCCCCAACAAAAAGAAACTGAGGTCAGGATTTCCTCACTACAACAGAGGCCGAAAAATGTGAGACCGAAAATCATTACGTACGTTCGAAAAAACACACCAGTAAAACCACAAGACAACGACACCCAGGCTGAAGATTCGACGAAGCCACTGCAACAATCGACCTCTACACTTACCCAGAGGGATTCAAAGGGTGTTCCTCAGTCCAGATCCACTCCGGTGCTCAGCTCCTCCAATGTGCTGTTCGACAAATATCGACAGGAGTTGCAGAAGGCAGGGTGCTATCCACAGACTGGCATAAAACTGTCCAGTGCCACTGCCCCTCAGAGGGTTAGTGGGAAGTCAGAGAGCTTTCATGAAGAGATGTCAAAGAAATACCTCCAAGAGGTGAGATTTGGACTCTGAATTCAACTTGTTTAACACATACATAATCGTACTCCCTCCATATTTTTTCCTCATGTGTAGACATTACAACCACAAACTGAAAGGTATTTAAATCGATGCAATCAAATCACCAACACTATCAGATTTTACTTCGCCAGAAATCATTAATCACGTATCATTTCACCTTTACCTTCATATCTTCAACTTTCTGTCGACCAGTGAGTCGATTGATTCGTGGTTGTAAAATTCAAATGGTATAAAATGTTTGTTCGAGGTATTTTATCTTAGACCTTGTGAGCAGGTTCTCATGCTGAACATCTTAGACTTCCTTTATTGTCATTGCACAAAAAACACAAGGTGAATATTGACAACGAAATGTCGATTACTTGGCTACCACTGTAACAGAGCTAAGACCTTATTCCTGCACAATAAATAGGTTTTCTATGAGTAAGAGCTAGCTATATACAGGGTAGGAATATATGTAAATATACATATATATTGCACTAAGTTATTGAAGACGTAACATCAATAAATAAATATTGCACTAAGTTACTGAATATTGCCTTGAGGAATTATTGAAAACGAAACATTAAATCTTAGTTGGTAATATTCTTCATCAGAACCCTTATCAAGATGGCGGAAGCATCTATCGTTCACCCAGAACTGTTAGGCCTCAACTGGGTTTAGGGGCGGTTACCAGGCAACCTGCAGCCAGGACAAGAGTGGAGCAGATGGGTCAAAGGTCAGCTTCATCTTCATGCCACGCAGCCAGAGTGTCATCGCCAGGTGTCCAGAATCAGGCAGGTGAGATGGTGGGCTGTTAACCTCTGTTGCAGTTTTAAAAATCTTAAAGGGCTTTCCGGTCTTTTTCTTGCTCAATATTCCTTCCTCAGACTGTTGAGTATGATTTGGCAAATTTTCTTCATGTGACGCTCTCAGTAAAGTTTGGCTTGTGACTCCAAGTCTTTGAAGTGTAAAACATTTGTTAAACAAATTCAGTCAATTTCCACTGCATATTTTAACTTCTTCAAGCGCTAACATAATCTACCTCCACATAAGCTGGTCTCCTTTAAGTATTATTCTATCGTTCTGATTACATTTATTTTTATACCAGCTTGTAAACTATGCTTTTCTCCCATTAATGTCAGAATAGACGATTATTTAATAAATGCAGTTACAGTATCCTATGTATTTTTCAAACAAAGTCCTAGAGATTTTTTTTATCTATTTAAATGCGTAAGGTAACTAGAGTGAAGTTGTCAGAGAGCCATTTTAAGTTGCCCTGAAGAAAAATAGTTTTTTCTTTCCAGAGACCACACCTAAAAGTCTCCAGCTGAAGTCGGGCCAGTCCGGTCTCCGTCCTCCAGGCTTTTCCAGCCTCCCACCTGCAAGACTAGCTGCTTTAGGTGTGATACGGACGTCCAGCGTCTCGTCTGTGTCCAGCAGCCATTCCAATGACAGCTCTCACAGCGATCCTGGTCAACCCTCTAACTGTGAGTTGCATCGCTCTCTTCCTTATAGTTTTACACTGCAAACACTTTATACGTCTCAACAAGTAGATATTAATTTATTTTAGAAAGTAAATATATTTATTGAATACAGAGTGATTGATTTTAGAGCAACTGTTATGATTTGCTGCTATTAAAAATACATAGTAAAGTAAATCTAATTTATTCCAGAAATGTAATATGGTCATGTTAATTAGTTAATTAGATTTTTTTCTTTGGCTGTTATTTCGGGGTTTAATAGCAGACAGTGCATTTTTCTCTTTAAACTATCTTATTTTATCTGTTATTTTTTAATTAGCTTGTTCCAGTTTTAATGTTGTTAAAGATAAAAAAAAAACAGTTTGAAAGGCTGTTAAAAGGTGTACTTATCAACACTCAATTAAAACTTCCTCTTGTTAACATATACACAGGTACATCTATTTTTTTTTATATTAATAGAGAGCTGTTTTTAATCTTTTAAGAATAAATAACTGAAATTAATCAAAAAAGGGATGTATTTTAAGTGTTTAAAAATTACAGCTTATATCAAATGAAAAGCTGATTAGCGTTAGACTATTAAAGAGGAGGAACAAACAGGATTTTTTGATATATAATGTTAATTTAGGGCCTTGATAATCACAAGTAAGAATGCTTAGATAGAAGACATAAAGGATGCTTCGTTGGAAACTATCCTTCACAAGGATGAAGAGCCACAAAAGGTCATTGATAGAAAAGCTCACAGTTTACAGTGCTGTATCTAGATATATTCATAGAAAGTCTAGCAGAAGGAAGATGTTTACTACAGACGTTGCCTTTTTAGAAGCCATGCCATCTGCTAGTGTGACTGTTCTTTTAAGGCTTAAAATCAGCCCCATCCTCAGCAAAGAAATCTCTAATCAGTTATGCTTTCCTTTGATAGTGAGTTCTTATGGAAACTCTGGTTTACCTCTTAGGGTTTTGACTCTCCTTCTGTCTTTGCTATTTTTGCATTGCCTGGTTTAACATGTTCAGCTTGTAATACAGTTTGCATCATCTTTGCAGGAAAGAATTGAGCTCTAATTAAGCTGAAAAGTCGTTTCTACTCAAATTTAAATAGCCAGCTAAAAGTGCAGTAGCAAATACACGACTAGCTGATAGAGCAGCTCATTAGGGAGCCTCTAAATGGAAATTAGATTTCAACACTGTGCTCCAATTGCGGGTCTTCAGAGGAGCAGAGCTAATCTTCTCTGAGCTGACAATGTCTTCTTCAACATGCTGTTGGCGTGGAGTATATCTGTCCCTTTAGCATTAGAAGAGTCTATCAAACTGTTTTCTCATGTTTGATAGCAGGCTTGTCTAAAGCATAAATGTGTTGTTTACATTTTTAAATTAGGATCACTCTGGATTAGTCATATTAAATGATAATAACAATTTTAAAACAAGATGATTATTGTTGGCAGCAATATTATCAATTGTTAGAGCTTCTCTTTACTAATTTTACTATAGTTGCCTTATGTCATTTTTGAAATATTTCTAAAATGATTTCTTTTTCTCCTTAAACCATCAATAACTCTTTTATCCCATGCCACCTGCATTACTGCAGTTTGCCTTCCTGCCTTGAAAAGCACTCAAACATTTACATTAGTGCAGCACACAGCGGGTAAAGGCTTTACCAAAAGTAGTTTGTGTGAATCTGTTACTCCAATTCTAACCTCTTTGCAATTTTCACCTCTGATGTTGAAAAATTGATTTTAAGGTTTTATTTTTAGTTTGTAAGTCAATAAATGGTTTTGCCCCTTCCTATATTTCTGGACTGCATATCTGATCAACCAGTACTCTCATTTAACACAAATAGATATTTAGCTTTTTTTTTTGTCTTAAAAGCTTAATATAGAAAGCTCTGCCAAATAATATTAGAAAGTCTCTAAAATGCCCCCTTTTTTAAGTTTTTATCAAGACCTAATTTAAATAAGTTGGATTTTAACTATTAATGTTGTGCATTGATTGAATTGTAACTAATAATAACTAAGTTTTCCATTATAAAATCAAAAAAGCATAATATATATATCTATGTATATACCGTATATAAACATATATAAAGATATATATGTCTATATATAGATATAGATATATATTTTTATGCTTTTTTATTTCATAATGAAAAAATGAAAAACAAATTACAAACAATTTTCAAAGGTGCTATGCAAAAAAAATTAATATTGCTATGCGTGTTGTGTTTTGGTTTGTGCAACAACAAAGTAGCTAAGCCATTCGTCACCTTAATAAAATATTTACCAAGGTTATAGCCCTATTTTTATGTTTCTGAGTGAGTAATTTGATAAATGTTTATGGTAGATACAGCTGACACTACAGATGTTTTGTGTTAACAATAAGTTAGGAAAACCTTAAGTCAAATGAAGGGTTAAAGCATGGCTAATATAAGATTCTCACAGGATGATACAGTTCTGGCTATATTTGATGTTACATGATGAAGAAAAATAACTTTTAAGCATATAAACAAGAAAAGCAAATTTTGTTCTATTTTAACTTCTTCAAAAAGGATTTACAATCAAAGTATAAAAGATGCTCTGAGCCACTTGCTGCTGATTAAAGAATCAGTGCTGTGGAGGGTAGTTTAACACTGCACAAGCAGCCAAGCATGCAGCAGCAGCAGCATAAATCACAGTGAAGCACAGCCTGGTTGTCAGTCCTCTTCTCTGCTTTGTGTTTGCTTCAGTGAAAATGTGCTGACTCTCTCAGGTGGATTCCAATTGCTGCAGTGTGAGGAGTTGCTGCAATCCCTTCTGCGTTTAGAACCAGACTTTGTTTTACTAAGATCAATTAAATATTCAAGCTATTAACTGTGCAGTAGTGCATGATGCAACCATCTTATCTGTTCTCTGGTAAGAATAATGCAGTTCAAAGGCAAAAGATTGATTTTATTCTTCTTTCAAGGTGTCAAATTACCTGCAGAAGTCGGAGCCTCTGTTAGGAAGCGTATTGATATAGCTGCTGAATATTTTATAAGTAATGTAATCTGTCTCCCTGGTTTTTGACTTCCTGCTTACTCAGACATAGTAAACCTTAATCCTCATGTTTGTGTGTTTAACCTTTACTTGCTGCTGATAGATTTATTTATATATATTTTACTTGCAAAGTAAGGTTATTTGGGGAAAGCAATGACTTTATCCTGGTCTTTACTTTTATTATTCTGTTCTTTTATGAGGGATTAGATATAGGCTCAAGTGATTCAAATTGAAAGGTCTGGGTTAAGTTTGAAAAATAAATGAGAAAATAATGGAGGTCAATGAAAACAACCCATGCATGTAATAAAACATGGATATGTGTGTTTGAATGGTAAGAAACAGCCCGAGTTCAAAATTGGGGATGCACTCTGCAGAATTTCTCATTTCTCAAAATTCACTTTGTTCCTGAGTTTTTATTTTCATTGGATCAATATATTTAAGAACAAAAGGTTTTTTTATTCAAAAGATAATTGTCATTTTTTAGCTTTGTTATAGATATTCTAATATGTAAAATGATTTTTTGTTTTTGTTAATAATTCCCTACAATCAATTATAACAAGTAACCCAAAGGTACTCTGGAGAGTTTAGGATAAAAAAAAATCTTTACAAAAAGTGTTTATGCTAAAGTACCGGATTCGATATACACAAAAAAATGTAAGAGCAAGTAAATATAATTTGTAGGAGTTGTTTCATTTCAAATTTTTACAAAAAGAAGATTAGAATGAATCTTTTTGTGTGAAATCACATTAAGGTCATGATGTGGAGTAATATTCCTCTTGCCAATCACAGCCTTGTTGCATGTTTAAAGACATACACATATCTTTCTCCTTCTTTTGCAGTTCCCAGTGCTGGCAGTGATGAAACACTTCCACATAAATCCGTCACACTTCTTAGTGGATCTTCCCATCCTCAGGGTCTGGTGAAGACCCCCAACACCTTGTTGCATGTTTAAAGACATATTTATCTTTCTCCTTCTTTTGCAGTTCCCAGTGCTGGCAGTGATGAAACACTTCCACATAAATCTGTCACACTTCTTAGTGGATCTTCCCATCCTCAGGGTCTGGTGAAGACCCCCAACACCATGAGCATGCAACGTCGTAACGTGTCACCGCAGCACAGCTCCCACTCTGGTACAGTCACACATCACACAGACAAGTCGAAATAAACATCTAGTCTTCAGTTTGCTCTCCGTATACCTGTGTTTAATTTATATGTAAGACTCAAAGGTAATGCTTTTGTTGTGATTGCCTTATCTCAATAACTAGATGTACTGTTTAATAGATGAGCCTTTTGAAGTTTCACAATACATGTCCGAATAGGTGGGGCTACAGTGGCGTTGGATGCAGTAGGGTCGGCAGATCGAACCCTTGTCTCAGTCATGTGTTCTTGGACTGATGGTGTCAGAGGCCTCACAACGGTGTACAACAGCCTTGCTTCTGCCCCAGGGCACCTGTGGCTACAGTGTAGTTCACTACCATCAGTAAAACATGGAATTTATTATAAAGTGCTTTGGAGTCCCCTTTCTTATAAAGGCACCATATAAGCACAGGACCAGGGCTGCAACTAACGATTATTTAGCAAATTGATTAATCTGTCGATTATTTTTTTATTAATAATCAGATAGCAAAAGGTTCCTTAAAAAGTTATTCTTACAAGATTAAACCAGGTGAAACTAAAACTTTTGCACTTGTGGAGTTCTGGATAGAACATATTGACAGACAAACAATTTTTTTTAAATCCTAAATTCAAAATCTTTGAATATTGTTTTTTTTTTTTAGGATTTTGGTATAAGGTGGGTCTCTGTCAGCTAAAGGCATGTTTTAGAGTCCGTATAATCCAGTTAACAAATAGTCGATTACTTAATTAGTTGAAGATTATTTCTATTCATCACGATTAATCTGATTAATTGTTCCAGCCCTAGACAGCACATTTACCATTTCTACCATTGCATCTCAACTCACTGATCGTTAACACAAAAGGAAATCATACAGATGGACAGGTTAAAAGTTTTCTAGCTAAGGAAACCCAGTTGAATGCATTCAGTCATTGACTTTCAAATCCACACTTACATATACTTAGACAGACTTAGACATATTTTATTTTGTCATTTTGTACAAGCAAGTGTTAACAACAAGAAATTTCGTTATGTACAGCTCTCTAGACCAGGGGTCTTCAACTGTTTTCTGGCCCTAATTATATATATTGTATGAAATTGTGTTATATCAAACTGGTCCTATAGGCACTCTATTACATATGGAGTAACATAACGAAAATAATTTCACCCTGGGATTATTAAAGTATTTCTGATTCTGATTCTGATTCCTCGTATGGGACAGGTGTTGTGAATGAAACAGTGCCCAGCTTGAAAGAGCTCCTTTGAGTCGCTGAATGTGTGCATTGATGACTGAAAGACATCTTCTGCCTCCATTTATCTGTTTACTACAGTGTGTTGAATTCATCTTAATGTATATTTAAAGACAATTGAGGGATTGAATTGCAGAGGAATATATATATATATATATATATATATATATATATATATATATATATATATATATATATATATAATCAACCAAAACTTTTACGACCCCCATACAGTACCTCTGTGGACCCCGTAGGGGTCGCAGACCCCCTGTTGAAGACCTATGCTCTAGACTTTTTCATTTTTTTCTATTTTCATTTTTTAAAGTGCAGCCGTGATGAAAAAAAAGGGATGGAAACAAATGACTCTATACATAGTTACAGTTCCAACATTCAGTTGTTGTTTTTATGACCCATTTTACATAACTTTTAGCAGTCTAATGGTAGTGAGCAAGAAATTGTTCTGTATAATATACAATTATTTTAAGTATTTTTTTAAGTTTGTGGTGCATACTTTCAGACCTAACTCTCCAAACTGTGTGTGTCAGTGCTACCTTGGTTAGAGGTTTTTTCCTTGCTCTGATTGTTATGATGTATCTCCCCCTTGAAGCAATATCCAAAATAAACAGTTTAAAGGCTTCCTCTGTGTATCACAGTGCCTTAATAAGGATTTCTTAAAGCATTTGCAAAAACAAACAAAAACAATACTGTAATTTCAGGCATCTGTGCTGTTGTGGCTGTTGCCTAGCGTTGCAGCTGAAGTGATGCTGCACCACACATTGCACTTCCTTGCTGTTCCCATAGGAGGCAGTGAGATATGTAACATTCCCTATTGTATTATTTGCAGTGAATGTGGGATATCGCCACCATCTAGTGGTCATTCTGTGTATACAGTAACCCTGGTTCTTCTGTATATTTTTGGCCCCTTTGGTTTTTCAAGTGGTTTTTCTTAAGAGACTTTAACTGTAGGAAGTATTTCATTTGTTATATAAAAAAAGCAAAGTGAAATTAAGAAGGTGGAACAAGCAAAAAATCAAAACTTTTACAAACCTTTAAATAATTTATTTGCATTAATGCATCTATTTGACAATTCAGATCTCCTGCTAAGATGTAATAATGAGCTGAGAGGAGGTGCTTAAAGATCACAGAATTATCATTGATTATGGTTTTTCTTACATTTTAATGCGAAGGTCGATAACAATGAGCTTTGCAGTTTCAGAAATTTAATTAGATCAAATTTGAAGTACATTGAAATTATTTATACCCAGAAAGAAATTTGTTTTTGTTTGTTTGTTGTTGTTGTTTTTTTTTTTTTTTTGAGGGGTTAATTCTTTAGTTCTTAGCAGTTTTTTTTTTTTTTGCTTAGCAGTTTTTTTTTTTTTTGCAATTACAAGCTGAACTGTATCACATTTTTTGTAAAATAACTTGAGATCAGTCATACTATAGGAGTGCATTTATCAATGCCAATTCAAGCCTTACCAGAACTTATTTCATGTATTTAAGTAATTTGTTCAGGGTAAAAGATGATATCAACATTTAGGAGCAATTTAGTTTTTTGTTTAAAATTCTTTCTTAGATAGTTGAATAAATTCACAATCTTTCAACTGAATGATTCCTTTTAGCTTTCAATGGTATAGAGTCTATTTATCTTTAATTATGCATACAATTTAGCTGATCATTACTTTATAAATGTTATTGAATTGAAATATTTATTAGATTTATTGAGAACATTTGCAATTTCAAACTTGAGTAAAAGTAAAGGAAAAGTTAGCATTTGGTATTTAACCAGCTGTTTTTAAAGCTTGAGATGTTATTTAGAGAATGCAATGTCTAAACACTCCTAATCATGTTCTGAAAAAGAATAATTAATTATGTTTATTTGTTGGAAATCAAGCCACTAAAACTAGAAACCTTTACTAAACTAATTTGCTCTTGTTTCCTAACTTTTCGGTTGTAGGGTAGATTTCTTTAGGAACAAATCCAACATTTTCTTCTCTACACAGTGTCGAGGACAGAGCTGCATAAGGACACTGAAGCTGGACTCTCGCCGAGATCTTCCCCTAAAAGGTGTGCTGTGGTTCCACCAAAGCCACAGTCCCCAGGTGAGTCCATCCTTTCATGCTCACACCATGTACACCCCATGTTCAGTATGTTCCCACATAGCGCATCTTCATCCACTGCCTCTGTTCCTTTAAAAATGAAAATTGAGTTCATCTTATCCAGTTCTCATTTCCTGACCTTATACCTAGCAACCTAATGTTGTCATGGCAACAAGGTACAGTTTCCATAATGCTGTGGTGGCTCTGTCAGCAGCAGTGTTTCCGGTTTAGATTACATCAGTGTTTGTCACTAAGTTGTACTTTATTTAGATACACCTCAGACAGAGAAGGAGCTGCATATAGAGCTGCAGTGCAGTGAATAATGTTCCAATGGAGGCCACATAACATGCAGCCATACTTGGGAAGTAGAAAGCTGCTCTTCCTTCCGCAGTGTGTAAAAATAGTTCTTATCTCCACCTCCCTGCTTGTGCATTAGCCAAGTAAAATAATTAAACTAATCATCTGAAGCAAACTCGGCTCTGTAATAAAGTTATATGAATCTCTGCAGACAGTACAGGTGCACTCTAGTGGTAGAAAATCAAAAATGTTTTTTTTTTTAAAGATTGAATTTATATATATATATATAAAAAAAAAAAATCATGTTTCATCCATTTATTAAATAAAGCATTATGGTATTCTAAGCTTTTATTGCTGTTTCTTTGAATGAGTATGGCATAAAGTTACTGGGACCAGCATCTCAAATTTCCAAACATTAGAAAATAAAAATAAAAAAGAAGAAAAAATGAATTTCAAAATAGAGATGCTTGCTTACTGTCCCACAGAGAAACAAACTTGGCAGCTCCTCAGCAGAGGGAATCACAGAGGATTTAAAAATGACTGAAAGCTGATTTTTTTTTTTGGTGTTTGACTTCATTACTACATAGAGTAGTGGATCAACACTAATAGATGGGATGGTTCCTCAACTCTCCTCTGACTGGAAACTTTGCAATGGACTGAAGCTAACTTGGATTTGGTGTTTCTCCACCTTTCCTCTAGACTCTGGGATCTACTCTGGATTATCTACAATAACCTCCCAGGTTATTGAATGGACTTTGCTTCATGATCCGCTGAAGGCTCCAGTTATTACTGTATTCTGGGCTACTTTTTTTCTGATCCACTTATGTTTTCTTCCACTTAACTCTCCATTAACATCATTGGAAACAATACTATGTGAAGAGGCACCTTTTTTAAGGACCTAGTCTCTATGATTAGGGTATCAGTGATTAATCAACATATAGAAAATCAACAGTGTCCCATAGCATAATATTTCAAGGTTACATTAAATTCAGTTTTCAATTCAGTTTATTTATAAAGCGCCAATGCACAACACATGTCATCTCAAGGCACTTTAAGGTTCAACAGGTCATACAGGCAAATTTACCGTATTAAAGTTTTCTATCTAAGGAAAACTAGTTGATTGCATCGACTCATTGACTCAAAAGCAATCCCTCACACTAAGCATGTTTGTAGAGACAGTGGAGAGGAAAACTCCCTTTTAACAGGAAGAAACCTCCAGCAGAACCAGGCTCAGTGTGAGCGGCCACCTGCCAAGGCCGACTGGGGTTCAATGAGAACGTTAAACTTGTGTTTAGAGTCAATGTATTATAAAGCTCCCCAATACATAAACTTTTATTTAATAATTTAACCTATTGAGATTCCCTAATGGCCAGTTGCTTGGGCTCTCGCTGCCTTTGATGCCAATGTTTTACTTGGTCATAGAAAGATGTGTCAAAACAGAAGAGAAGAAAGAAAAAATGGATTAATTGCAACTAAAAGCATCATTACAGACTGAACAAAACTATTATAATTGCATCATTTCTTTAAATTGTGTTGCCATACTTTCCGTAGAGATACCTATCACACTCTGATCTGACTTGAAGCAAAAACATGTTGCTGAATTATTGCTTTTTCTCTTTAGCTCGCAGTCGAGCGGCAGCGGTTCATGGTTCTCCTCGGACAGGAAGGCCACAGGAGCTGGACCGGGCTCTGATCAAGCAGCTGCAGGAGCGATGTGAGCAGCAGGCCCTGCAGCTACAGACCCTTCAGGCTCAGTTGAAGAAGGCCTCCTTGTGTCTAGATGCTTTCAGTATCGCCACTCTGCACTTTTGCAACAAGGTAGGATCATAGAAATGATACCTGTTGGTCTAAGGTCAGGTTCTTTTATCCTAACCCAAATCCCAACACAAAACAATATTTTTACATAATTCCATAGGATGATGAACAGATTCTAAAGAAAAATTCAATGCAATGTTTTGTAAAAAATCTTATTACTGAATTTATATAATTTATTCAAATTTATTTTCTTTACTTTGAGCTTTATGATTTTAGTCATTTTTGACTCACAGAGTCCACGTTTTCTGAGATACAGAGAACCTGTGTGAGCTTCAATGCAACTTTAAAGAGTCCATTATCCTTTTCTTCAAAAGACACCTGTAGAGTCCAGCTATTTCTGTCAAAGCAGTAACTGTCTTTGAAGCTTTTTTTTATGACACATTAAGGGTGACTCTGTAGCAGCCAGCTTGATCAAACAACTGCTTTTAGGATTTCCTGAGAGGTTTTATTATAGATTAGAAAAAGATATAGTATACAGTATCCTGTGGAAGCCATGTGTCCACAAGTTTAAGGTGTAAATCTTTAAACTAGTACCATTTTGTTAGGTAATATCCACAGACATCATTGTTTTTCTAGGGATTCTTAACCAACAGGACAACAGATCTAAACATACGACCAGAGATCCAGAATGGTTCAGATGTCTCTGTCTGTTTGGAGGGAGCACTAAAAACCTAGAACTAAATCAGATTGAGAATAGCAACATTTGGAAATTGATTTTTAGAGTCTATCCAATCAGATTGAGCCTAAACAATCTCCCTTACTGTCCCTTAGTGGGGATATTTAGGTTTGCCATAAGGAAGGGTCTTTATTATTTGATGAAGTATTAAATATGATAAATAGGTAGAAACACCCCTAAAGATTTTTTAGACATAATTGCTGCAAGAGAAGGGTCTACTATGTATTGACTTTAGGGTGCCTAAAAGAATATAAACTGCACTTTTCAGGTATTATTTGGATTTGTTATTGTCCTCACAGTTTTTCTTCCCTTAAAAGTTATCATTGTTTTTTTGGATATGGATCTGCTCCATCGTTGAGCTCTTGCTGACTCAATCAGAAGTTTCAAATGTGTCATTTGTTGTCAAATACTGTAAATTGCAGCTAATGAAAGCAATACCTACCTTAAAAATTGGAAAATAATCTTGATTTTAAAAAAAAGGCTCAAAATCTGGGCTGCAACTCTGAATTACCGGTATTATTATTTGTCTAATTGATTAATATGTAAATTATTTTTTCATTTAATTATCAGACAACAAAAAAATGCCTTAAAGATTTTTTTTTATTTTTTTTTCAAGATTTAAACCAGGTTAATTTAAAACTGCCACTTCAGGGCTCTGGATAAAACATATTCACAGATAAAAATGTTTTTTATGCTTAAATATTTTCCTACTTTAAGGGGGTTGCTCATTTAGCTAATGGCATGTGTTACAGTCTCTGTACTCCAAATAATGATTATTCGTTATTTTCAAGAACCAATTAATCACCACTAATCAGATTGTTTGAGTTTTAGCTAAAATATTAATATAGTTACAAAAGTAAACTATGTACAGATTTAGTTTTAATAAGTCAAAATTATTGTTCTATAGAGAACATTAAAAGTACATTAATGTATATAATGGTGATAGAAGTCTGCAGTCTGATATGTTGTGCTTCATGTGTTATAGTGGATAAGATTCCTTCCTAAAGGACCATTAATAAACCATCTTTTGTACATTTCTGTTTTTTTCATAGAAAAAAAATAAGCCCCTTCAACTTGTTTTCTTTATAAATGTCTATAATGTCTTATGTTGGCTTAATAATTAATTTTTTCTTTCTTTTCCTGCTTCTTTGGATTTAGCAGTTGTATTTCATAAACCTGTGCTGTTTACAGTCGGGTAGATTGGAAAAAAAACTATTGTTGGTGTTTTATTTATTTTTATATAAAAAAATAGAAGATGTGTGAATATTTAGTCTCAACATTTAACAGTACTGGGCTGATTATTTATGGGGATTCATTGAACTGTAGTTTTAAGATGCTTGATTTCAGTGGCAGTGGTGTGAAATTTTACTCTAGGTCCAAAAAGTAAACAAAATAAGATCTCAAGATTGTCCCCTAATCTGTATATCTGACTGCTTATCGATTAGGTCTCTTCTTTTCTCCAGCTGCCCTCAGAGATTTATAAGATGCGTGTTGCTCTCTGCCGTGCGTATGACTGTGATATGGGGCGTGTTTGTGGGGGGTTGAGGGGAGGACAGGCAGGATCTGGCTCTCTTTGTTCTAGCAGGGATAACTGATGCTCGTAAACCAAGAGCAAGGTATGGTTTTGGTTGTTTCCTTTCTCCTCTCCTCCCCTCTCCTTTCCCTGCCTCATCCCTCCCCTCTGCTTTGACTTTCTTTCTGCATCTTTCCTTTCACTTCCCGTCTATCCCTGCTGCCTCTACATCAGGCTAAGGGATGCTGCCGTCTGCTAGCCTAATATGGGCCATTGCTGCTGCAGGCTTCATTTTCTCCCTATCTGCTGTGTGGACCCAACGGTAAAGGCAGTGTCATCTGAGGGCAGTAAGCTTGTTTTTCTTTCAGCAAAGAGGATCCCTTAATGCATTTGTAGCTGTGTTCATGTGTGTTTTTTGTTGATGAGGGGGTCTGAATGTGTGCATCTATATGATCGTTATGTTCACTTGTTTCCTAGCGACAGCCGGCAGAGAACACGGGGATGATTATGCTGAGTCAAAGCTGTCTGAGTTTGCAGGAACACTGCAAAAAAAATGTTGCAGCTGTGCTTCATTCAGTGTTTGGGTGTGTGTATTGTGTCAATGCCTTTCTTCTAGTTAATTAAAGTCTATATAATTGAATAATTGTAAGCACATGAATCTCATGGCAAAGCATTGCAAAAATAATCCAAATAATTTTAACTTTTTCCACATGCAGTGTATTTTAGATGTGCAACATTTTAATAGCTTTAACTTTTTCATTTTCATCATAAATAAGGTGCAATGTGTGGCATACAGTAGGTATATATTCAGCCCTTCTTGTCTCTACCAGTTATCTAGATATACAGATTCAAATGTTTGCCCATTCCTCTTTGCACAAAAGCCCAAATTCTGTCAGATTGAAGAAAGTGGTGAACAGCAGCACATTCAGCAGCAGAGGGTCTTTGTTGGAGCTAGGAGGAAAATGGAATAATAAAGTAACTGACTTCAGTGGGTCAGACATTTTATTAGTCAGATGGGTGGAGCTTCTTTGAATAAAATGATTTAAAACATGTTTTATTCCTTAGAAGAAGAGCCTTTAGTGCAGTATGATGTTTTTATGCCGCAAATGAAACCTCGTAGAGGATGACATCATTTTGAATGAGATAAACTGTTGACTGTTTCATAAATTTTTTAACAGCTCCACTTCTTTTTTGTCTGTGTTTGTCTCTTTATTCAAATGTAATTATTTTTTAACTACAGTTTTTTTTTTCTACAGACAACAATTAGGATAAACTATTTTGTTTCTCTCTTGTGTATCTTATGTTTTTTCATGAGTTTTGCCATACTACACCTATAGGTCCCGCCAGTCAAATAATCTTGTTGCATTATGACAAATAGTGAAAAAAAAAATCCTCTACTTACCTTCATTAGCAAGATGTGATCTAGGTTAATTTAGGTAAGTGTACAAGCTTCATACAAGCATTGAATCAACCATCAAACGATATGAAAATAATAAAATAATCGAACATTTTAAAGCTGGTACTTTAATTGTATTACTAGATTTTTTTTATGTCGCATTACGTGATCTGATAATTCCTGTTTTATTACTCATCACAGAGATAAGTACTGATAAAAACTATATCTCTGCTACCAAGTACAGAATGTTTTTAGCAGTAATTTGAAATGAATTAGGTTTTAAAAGCTTCAACTGTCTTTTTTGCTTTTTTAATTTTTTTTTTTTTACTTTGATTAATCTTGTCTGACCCTGAACAGTTCCTCTAAGATGAGAGATACATACAGGATTGCAACAGAGATGAAAAAAGATAAATATATTTATACCAAACCTAAATACTAGGCAACTGTCAGAAAGAGTGGCAATTGGGGGTTGAACAAGCCTCAGTAAGAAAAAAAAAAAAAAAGAAATCATATATTGGTGATTTGAAATGTAATCAGTTCTGACTTAGATACTCGTAGAGTTTCTGTATTTCGAGTAAAAGTTTTATTTTGTGGAATTTGCAATTTGAAATGAACCCTAGGACAAATGTATGTGATAAATATTATGTTTGTGACACATTCATACTCTCATCTAATAAATTATTAGATGGACTGAATATATTTTTAGTGTGATTAGTGCTCACACATGATTTTTCAGTAGATAAAATGATGATGGAGACAGAGAGCAAAACAGTTATGGAAAAGAGAGAAATTAAATGTGACTTTATTGTGATAATGTGTCATTTCAATGCAAGTGATTGCAGTCATTCACAAGCTAAATGCATGTTAGCTTATGGAGGACCAGCTCTACCATATTAAAAAATAAATACAGAAATAAATAAATGCTCAATAAATAAATAAGCATATAATTAGTTGTAGGTAGAAATTAGATTATGCAGTGAGACATAAATGTATATATCTCTTTTAATTAGCTTCTTTATTTATTCACCTTTGTAATAATTACCTTATTTGTCTATTGTCCAATATAATCTACAACTTTGTTTATTAATTACGTATTTATTTATGTGCATGTTATAATATTTTGTCTGTTTTATTCTTCCTTTGCATTTTTTTGCCCACTTTATTTGTCAACGCTATTTATTTCTGCCTGTCGTTTTTACATTTCTGTATGCATTTCTGCCTCATTATGCAAATTAAGAAGGGCTGTGTCTTAGGGGGTCAATTTCTGCCCATTGGTTGGTTCTGTTTATTGAGCATTTATTTATTTCTGTATTTATTTTTAAATATGGTAGTCCTGGTCGCCCCATATTAGCTGACCATCTGTTGTTTGAAACTATTTTTTCGATCTGAGTACTTCTACTACTAATAAAAAATAAGTCTACTATTATGAATGCCAATAATGATAGCAATGATAATAATAAGGAAAAAATAAAATTAATACCTGTCAAGATGAATAAGCAGTTAAATAGAAAACGGTAACTTGGCAACTTTAAAAATACTGAAGCGACCCAGGGAATACAACGCCACCAGAAAAACATTCCCACTCTATCTTTTTAGCTTTATAAATAGCGCTTTTGCAAAAGAACAGATTTTTATTTTTTCCAGCTGGTCAGGGTCAGCCATGTTGAAACTCTGCCAATATTAGTTACCAGTGAATTTTCATATGCATCCCAGATAATCTTAAGAAGTCGAATGTTTTCCAACCGATACCAAAGGTAAAGCAGACACGCACTTGTTGGTTATGATTATTTATCCTGCAGAACATAATGGAAACACATACCTTTTTCTTTTTCTTTTTTTTTTTTTTACAGCTTTCTTTTTAATTACTGACATGAGTATGTTTAATTAAAAGGAGTTCAGTTTTTTTTTTTTCTGTTTCATTCCAGAATGAGAGCGCCATAGTAAAAGAGAGGGAACTATCCCTTGAGCTCGCCAGAATCAGGGATGAAGTGGGTAAGTGGGAAACAGTTAATTATTCAATGATTAATACTAACAAAATGGAAAGAACTAGAATAAAAATATATATTTGTTAACTGAAATAAAAATAGAAACTTATTGAAACTGTAATAAGAGTTTACCAAACTAATTAAAACGAACTGAATTTTAATAGAGAATATGCTTAGTTTCCATTTGTTTATCATAATGCATTAATATGAGGTAGTTACCAGTTGCTATTTTTACATTTTTTTCCGCTGTATTGCATAACGCTAGCAGATGGCAGGTACAGCAGTCAGGTCATTGGTGTTGCTGCAAGGGTCTCTACTTATCTAGCATTTTTTATTTGTTTTTATTTTTTAGTATTTCTTGTACGCAGTACGTAAGTCTTATTACATAAAAGACTAAATCTATACCTAAATTAGTTGATGAGTATTTCAATAATCGATTAATAAGGATTAAACCAATTATATCGCCTGTAGACAGCTATCTCCAGCTGTCTACAGGCGAGAGGCAGGGTACACCTTGGACAGGTCACCAGTCCATCTCAGGGCAACACAGAGACAAAAATAACAAACAACCATTCACACACACACACACACACTCACACCTAGGGAGAATTTAGAGAAGCCAATGTTGAAGCCACGTTTTTGGACTGTGGGAGGAAGCTGGAGTACCCGGAGAGAACCCACGCATGCACAGGGAGAACATGCAAACTTCACACATTAAGAACCGGGGCCGGGAATCTTCTTGCTGCTCTTGCTGCTCATTGGCGTAGTGGGTAGCATTGCTACCCACTACGCCAATGAGCAGCCCACAAAATACACATCTCTAAAATTTTAAACGAGCCATGTCTGACCCCATACTACCTAAACTAAGATCTATCTATTATGTACATTTGATCACCAAAATTTGAGCCCAGTTAAGTTATTTTGTTCTTTACATGTTCCAGCTGTTAGTGTTGCGCACTGGGAGCAGCTGCAGCAGGAGAAGGGGGACCAGGAGCGTCGCTTTGAGGCAGAGCTGCAGGGACTGCGGGCTCAGCAGCAGAGAGATCTGGGAGCGCTGGAGGAGAGGCTGAAGGCTCAGCACATTGAAAAAACAGAAAGCCTGCAGGCCCATCAAAGAGCTGAGCTTGAGGAGCTACGCTCCAGACATCAAGAGCAGGTGCTTAAAACACGCTGTTACCTCACCTAACACGCTTTTAAGGGTTCAGGATTATAGGCGTTATGAAAACATAGTTTGTGTAAAACATCTGAACATTTTTGTCAAAGCTTGAGGAGATGACTGACAACCATGAGGCCTCCTTGATGGAGATGGAGACCACCCATAATAACACACTGGACACTCTACAGGAGGAGCATGCAAGAACAGTAAAGAGTGAGCATCTCTGTTAAAGACCTGTTCTGGCTGCACTGTCTTCAGTTTAAGATGAAGGATAATATACTGTCTGTTTGCAGATCTGAAGATGGCTCATGAACAGCAGAAGAAGTCTCTAGAGGAAGAATTTGAGAAGATCAGACTTTCACTCCAGGTTTATTTTGCTCTTTTAAGGTTAAAATTTGAGCAAAAAAAAAAAAAAATTATATATATGTTTTGTTTTGCTTTCCAGGACCAGGTAGACACTCTGACATTTCAGAATCGCAGCCTCAGAGATCGAGCAAAGAGGTTTGAAGAAGCTCTGCGTAGGAGCACAGATGAGCAAATAGTTGTAAGTTTTTTATGATTTAGAACTATAAGATATAGGAATGGCTCTGAGAACAACTGCAGAATAAATATGGCCTCCGTTTCAGGATGCTTTGGCTCCATATAAACATATTGAGGAGGACCTGAAGAGTCTAAAAGAAGTTCTAGAGATGAAAAATCAACAAATTCATCAACAAGAGCTGAAGATCTCAGAACTGGAGAAAATAGTAGGTTTTAAGTGTTTTCCATCAAAGTGTANGCCAATGAGCAGCCCACAAAATACACATCTCTAAAATTTTAAACGAGCCATGTCTGACCCCATACTACCTAAACTAAGATCTATCTATTATGTACATTTGATCACCAAAATTTGAGCCCAGTTAAGTTATTTTGTTCTTTACATGTTCCAGCTGTTAGTGTTGCGCACTGGGAGCAGCTGCAGCAGGAGAAGGGGGACCAGGAGCGTCGCTTTGAGGCAGAGCTGCAGGGACTGCGGGCTCAGCAGCAGAGAGATCTGGGAGCGCTGGAGGAGAGGCTGAAGGCTCAGCACATTGAAAAAACCGAAAGCTTGCAGGCCCATCAAAGAGCTGAGCTTGAGGAGCTACGCTCCAGACATCAAGAGCAGGTGCTTAAAACACGCTGTTACCTCACCTAACACGCTTTTAAGGGTTCAGGATTATAGGCGTTATGAAAACATAGTTTGTGTAAAACATCTGAACATTTTTGTCAAAGCTTGAGGAGATGACTGACAACCATGAGGCCTCCTTGATGGAGATGGAGACCACCCATAATAACACACTGGACACTCTACAGGAGGAGCATGCAAGAACAGTAAAGAGTGAGCATCTCTGTTAAAGACCTGTTCTGGCTGCACTGTCTTCAGTTTAAGATGAAGGATAATATACTGTCTGTTTGCAGATCTGAAGATGGCTCATGAACAGCAGAAGAAGTCTCTAGAGGAAGAATTTGAGAAGATCAGACTTTCACTCCAGGTTTATTTTGCTCTTTTAAGGTTAAAATTTGAGCAAAAAAAAAAAAAAATTATATATATGTTTTGTTTTGCTTTCCAGGACCAGGTAGACACTCTGACATTTCAGAATCGCAGCCTCAGAGATCGAGCAAAGAGGTTTGAAGAAGCTCTGCGTAGGAGCACAGATGAGCAAATAGTTGTAAGTTTTTTATGATTTAGAACTATAAGATATAGGAATGGCTCTGAGAACAACTGCAGAATAAATATGGCCTCCGTTTCAGGATGCTTTGGCTCCATATAAACATATTGAGGAGGACCTGAAGAGTCTAAAAGAAGTTCTAGAGATGAAAAATCAACAAATTCATCAGCAAGAGCTGAAGATCTCAGAACTGGAGAAAATAGTAGGTTTTAAGTGTTTTCCATCAAAGTGTATTTTTTGTTAAGGATGTTTTTTGGATGCATCTGATTCATAATTTAGACCGTCACAGTGATCATTATTTGAAACATTAGATTAAGCATAAATGGGCTTTGGATTTTAAAATATTCATTAAATTCAGATATAAAAAATGTTTTACACTGTTTTATTTTTGCAATAATAATGTGTCCTTATGCAAAAGATGAGGTGATGATATTTTACATGCAAAAATGCAAAACGGACAGTCAAATAATTTTCCCTATCTTTGTAAATTGATGCATTTATTAAAGTTCTATGCTTTTAGCACATTTAAAGACTTTAATGTTTTCTGCTCTTTCACCTGTGTTTTTGAGCAGGCTGAAAAGAATGTGTACCTGGAGGAGAAACTACAAGTGTTGCAGCAGCAGAATGAAGACCTGAGGGAGCAGATACACAAGAATCTAGCCGTGTCCAGGTCTGTATTTATGTGCGGCCCATTTGTTTTTATAAGATCTAGTTCGACATTCACTGTGCACTGTATATGTTCAAAATGTTGTTACTTTAGAACCTTAAAGGTAAAGTGGAGGATTTTTGTGAATTTTTTAAAAGACCCGCACAGCCCTGTACCCGCTCCCAAAAGGGAATACCTATCAAACACGTGCGACAGCGTGCATGTGCCCATTTCTCTTCATGCACACTCTGCTTTAAAGTTGCTGTTTGCGTCGTTCATACAAGCTTCAAAAGAAGATTTGCAATTTTTCCACCATATCAGACTCATCAACAGTAAGTGAAAATGGGGACGAGCATGTAGGACGACCTTACGTAAACATATCACCAGAATGATTGACAGTTAGGAGGACCACTTATTTTGATGATCCACCTGGAAGAAGAACATCCTCCAGTATACCTTTAAACTTCTATGTATTTTGGGATTTTTTATTGTGAGCAGTACACTATACGGTAATTAAAAGAGCAATTTTTTGGGGGGAAATCTGAAATATGTGAATATTTTGTAAAACCAGCTTACACTGGAGCTACAGCTAAAAGTGTTTTGATGTAGGTCTCT